CGCGCCGCCTCGCCGCTCCCTCGGCCGCTTTCTCCTCGCTCGCTCCTCGCCCGCGCGCCCGCTCGTCTCCCCCTCGCTCACTCCTCGCTCGCGCTCTCCCTCCCTGGAAGAAGGGAATGAGGCAGGGCTGACGTGAAGGGATGCAAAACAGCTCCTCCTAACCCGGCTTGCGGAGGAAGAGAGAGGCAGAAAAGCAGCCCTTTTATCTCTCTTTTGTTTTCTCACTTCCTTCCACCCCCCGATACCCCCCTCTTGTCAGCCCAAGTTTCTTTTCTCTTTCTACCACAGAGAGGATTTTTTTTTCTTCCTTTCTTTCTCTTGCTCTCTCTGTTCAACTCTCCTACTCGAATTGAAAGCCTGGAAGCCTCTCCCTCTCTCTCTCTCTCTCTCTCTCTCTCTCTCTCTCTCCTCTCTCTCTGCCTCTCTCCCCCCTCCCCTTTGCCTCTCTCTCGTCTCTCTGCGCCTTCCTTCTTTTCTTCCTTCTTCCTCCTTTCTTATTTCTCTAAAAGGGTTTTGTTTGCTGAGGGAGTTTCGTTTGAAAATCAAGTCACGCCTTTTTTTCCTTCTTTTCTACCCTCCTTTTTATTTATATTTTTCTCTCCTCAGCAGAAAAAGGGGAACAAAGATTAACAAGCTAGGGAGAAGGGAGCGTTAGGACCTCGCGTGGAAGTGGGGGGACCCTCGGTCTGCCTGGCACAAAGGGGGCGCGGGGACCCCGCCCCCCTGGGACGAAGCGCCCCCCCAAGAGGAGTCTGGGGGTTGGGACGTGGGTGGGGCCCCTGGGTGCCCGATCCCAGCGGGATGCGGGCTGGGGTCCGCAGCCGCCCCCGCCCTGGCCAGAGGTGGCGCTGGGTGTGCGCTGCACTTTTCTGTTCTAAAGTAGGCAGATGGGCTCGGAGCCACTGTCCCTGAAGAGCCGAGGACAGCTGTTGGCAGCGCCCTGGACGGCGCGGACGGGGAGGGGCTCGAGGTGGCCCCCCGCGGGTCCCCAAGTCCTGCCCGATCCACTGCTGAG